TCATCAACGTCCGTGGTTTTCCAGCTGTTATTGAACAACAAATCCAATGTTAGCTAGGGCTTCTGGGAATCACAACTTGGCAACTTGTGGCATGTCACCCATATTGCACCTCTGCCGATACTGTTGGTGTAGACCAGAGACCCTCAAATTGTGACCTGCAAGTCAGCTGCCAGAAGGACAGATGCTATTTTGGGATGCATTGACAGAAGCATTACTTCCAAATCAGGAGAAGTAGCAGTTCCCCTTTACTCCTCACTAGGCAGACCTCACCTGGAATACCGTGTCCAGTTCTGGGCATCGAGATGGAAGTAGGATGCAGGTAAATTAGAAAGGGTCCAGTGGAGGGCGACAGAAATGACCCAGGGTTTGGAAACTCTGCCCTGTGAGGACAGACTGGGAGACCCGGGCATGTTCAGCCTGGAGAAGGGAAGACTGAGGGGGGACATGAAATCCCTCCTTAAGTCCCTCAAAGGCTGTCACGAAGAGGAAGGTCTCTCATCCCTTCTTGCTGGTGCCAGAGTGCAGGACACGGAATAATCAAGTCAAGCTGCGACTACCCAGGTTCAGGCTGGGCATCAGGAAAAGCTTCCTCACTGTCAGAGCAATGGGACAGTGGAACCAGCTGCCTGGAAGGTGGTGGGCTCTCCCACACAGAGACATTCAAAAAGAAGCTGGGCAGCCCTCTGAGTGGGATGGTGTGACGTGGTGTCCTGCAAGAGCAGGGGGTGGACCTGATGGCCTTCTTGGCCCTTCCATCTCTACTATTCTATGATTCTATAAATCACTGGTAGTCCATGAACTCTGTCAGGTCAGAAGTTTGCAGGCTGCTTGGGGAAACTGGCACTTGGTTTATTACTTTCTGATGGTGGTAATCCAGGCCTTTTTGGACTTCAGCAGCACTATCAAGGCAGCCCTGGCGTGGGGCCTGTGATTCTCATGAGATGGTGCCATGGCTTTTCCGAGCCACGCCAGCTTGGTCAACAAAGTGTTGTTAAGCAGTGTTGTAACAAAAATGGTCTCATGAGTGCTGTGGGGGACCAAATGGAGTGAACTTGGCAGGTTCAGAAGCTGAATTGCACCCCCGTGCTGCCGATTCAGAACTTTGCATTTCCCATTGAGGAGAAGGGCTCCCTTTCAGTGAAAGAAAATCTGGCAAGTGCACTCGGGAATCCCACAGAGAGCTCGGATTGCTCTCTCTTGCTGCTCTTGCTGTTGCCAGAGGGTTGGGGATGTCATGCTCAGCAGCATCCTGCCTGCGGGCTGGTTGCATCCGTCAGATCGCCATGTCTTTGTCCGCCTTTGCCCCCGCACCTGTAACTTCATGGAAGGGCAGCCTCCTTTGCACATTTTCCTCCTGGCTCCCTCCTGCTTCCTCCCCTCCCTCCCTCCCTCCCTCCCTCTTGCAGGTGAGAAGAAGCTCTCTTCACTTTCACACAGTGCTCTGGGAGGAAGCACCCCTTTAAACTAGAGTGGGAGCCACAGAATCTCAGCCGTGATTTGGCTCAACAGGTGGCCGCACAGGCTCTGCTTTTGCCCTGCAACTGGGCGAGTGGGGAGGTTCCATCAGGGGTGGCCACCGGCAAGGCTCCTGGAGTGCAAGCCGCCGAGGTGCGGAGGAGGATGAAATAGGGCTCCTCAAGAGTAAAGACCACTGGGAGACACATTGGCATGTCTTGCAGCAGGACTGAAGGCCACGCAGATGACTGCTGCTTAGTGCCAGGCCCAAGAGGAGCATGAAACGACCCTGCCTCCACACCGTGACGTTTGAGGAGGAGGGTGAAAAGCACAGCACTTGCCCACGGTTTCCTGTGACTGGTGGGTTTGTTTCTCCCTGCACTTGCTGCCTTAGCTCTTGTCATTCTCTGGGTTCAGATGGCACAATAGCCCCCATTCAAGGGTTGAGTATGAGTTGTCAACAAACCATGGTTTGTATTTGAAGTGTGAATTACATGGTTTGAGCCCAACCATGGTTGATAACCCCAAATAACCAATAGTTCACAAGCCTCGCTCCATAGGTGGCTGTTGGTAACTAAACCGTGGGACATTTGGATGGCTGGGCTGAGACAACCTGAGAACCCCCGTTGCTTTGACATCCCAACAATTTCTTCTTGAAGGGAGCCCAAGGTGACTTACCTAGCTTTCTCCATTTTTAATCCTCACCACAACAACCTTGTGAGGTAGGCTAGGCTGAGAGTGAGTGGCAGGCCGAAGGTCAGCTGGTGAGTTCCCAGGTCCCAGCCTGACACGCTCGCCCCACACCTGCTGAAATAGAAGTAGAGTTGGAAGGGGCTTGGGAGGCCCTTGAGTCCAAAGCCTGCTCTGCTTCCACATGTGGCCGCCCATCCAGTCACGACCCATGCCTTCCCAGCTTCGCAACGGTGACTCGGCACACCAGCCCTGTGCATAGCTGTGCAGGCAGGGATATTCTGCTTCGGGTGAACTGCTTTGCCGTAGCTCTTGGTGGACACCTCTGTCCTCCTCCCGCTGTGGCTGGCGCCGGCCCAGGAGCAACTCAGCTAGCAGGTCTCCCACCCGCTGGGCATCCTTGGGGCAGGCGTCTGCATGCTGAAGTCGCTTGGGGCTGCTCAGCTTGGGCCTCCTCTTCAGCCTTGGGGGGAAGAGTCAGCACCCGGCGTTTCCCTCCGAGAGACACTAGAGCCCCTGCGTCCAAGCGGTCCCGTCCCCCAGCTCCTTTGGAGGCAAGCCTGCCGCCGGCCCCGCACGGGACGGCGTCTTTGTTGCCTTCTCCTGTTGCCTGGTTGAGTGCTGCCCTTATGGCAGTGAGAACCGAGATGGGGCGAGCGGGAGAGGGAGAGCAGGAAGGTCTGTCCTCGGAGCAAGCGCGTGCCTGCAGAGGCGGGGAGAAGCCAGCTGCAGTACACACCCAGCTCTGCCAGCCCCACAGGTCACCCCGTCTCTTTCTGGACCTGCTGGGACTTCAGCTGTCCTTGCAGAGGCTTCCGAAAGCAAAGGCAGCCGGGAAGAGGGCCGGCTGGCGGGGAGGCCTACCTGGAACGCCGCACCAGGATCGGAGGCATGCCTCAGGTGGCGCTTCCGCAGCGGAAGGTCCCCCGCCCGCTCCCGCCTGCCTTGTTGACGCAGAGAGTGTGCGGGTGCAGGTTTGCAGATGCTGGCCGGAGCCGTTCCTTGCGTGTTGCAGCAGGACGCGAAGGCCTGCGCGGGCAGGGGCCGCGCCACCAGTGGAAGAGGGAGGGGAGCGAGCTGGCAATGAATGTGGAGGATGTTCGAGGCTTTCAGCAGAGAGAGAGAGAGAGTGAGAGAACGAGATGTCTGTGAGGCAGCAGGGAAGCCCCCCTTCTTTTCTCAAGGTGAGGGGAACCGGCTGCTCCAAAATGCCAGCCAGCTGAGCTAATGATTCTCTTTTATTGTAAACAGATTATGTAATCTGGAGCACAAAGGACAGTGCTGGAGTGCAAGAGAAGTGGGCCTGGAGGAGCGTAATTAGCACCGATTGTCAGAAATCCGCCCGGCCCCCGGCCCTGTTTTATGGGCGGCCTGGCTCAGTGCTGGAGCCCGGTTTGGACCGCCTGCCTGGAAGAGCTGGCAGGGTGTGGGGAAAGCGCTTGGTGAGACACATGCACTCAGCAGAGCCCCATTCAAGCCGCCGGAAAGTTTGTTTTGAATGGGGACCGGCGGGTGTCTCGAGTCTGCCCTTGCCAGCTGCGGCGACCTGCCTTGCTCTGTTGCGAACAGCTCGCCTTGGCCCTTGGCGTATGTGCAAAGATAGGCAGGACTCGGATGTTGTGTCCGCAAGTTGGATTCTTCTCCCCGCCTCCCTCCCTCGCTCTTTCTCCACCTCCTCCCTGTTCACCCACACCCAACCCTGCTGAAGAGTAGGGAATGTCATAAGACTTTTCATCTGCTTGATCGTCGTTCCCCAGCGCAGAGCCTTCTAGGTGGTTTGGACTGCAAGCCCCAGGCAACATGCCTGGTCCTCAGGATGCTCCCGGTTGCAATCCCCCAAAACGTGGAAGGGGCTGACTGGGGCCAGAACTGGTCTAGGCAAAGCCCCTCTCACATCCTCTGCATGCATCCAAAGTGGTGCCTGGGATGCCTTGGACACCCACACCTGGCACAGCCACTGGGGGCCTTCGGATCGAGCAGGACTGCAGGAGGTGGTGCTGGGCCCATCCTGCCTCCAGGGGCATAACCCAAAGCCCTGTTGTGCTTCCTGGAAGGCCGCCATGGGCCAGTTTGCCCACAGTCGCCAATGCACACCTGCTGGAAAGTTAATTCCATCTTCCAGTGCAGCAGGGGGACAACTTTGTGGCCTTCCAGACATTTTGCCCTACCATTCCCATCATCCCACACCACTGATGTTGGCAAGGGCTGATGGGAGTTGTAGTCAAGTTGTAGACTAGTTGTAGTCTGAAACATTTGAAAGCTCAAGTTTGGGGAAGTCAGGGTAAGCCACCACATTAGGGAGGCTGGAGGAATCTGCAAGGATTCAAATGAATTTGGATTTCCATGAATCCATCTCGCATTCTGCAGCAGATCGTGTTGCCCCAAGTTGCGTGGAATTTGCAGGCCAGGTTTTATGGGCATGTTGGGGTTGGTGCAAGTTACCACATTTATTTATTCAATTTCTATCCCCCTCCCCGCAACAGGTGAAGCTCTCTGGACGGTTCACAACAGCCCATGAAAAATGGCAATAAGAGGTGCAGTACAAGATTTACAGTACAAAAATTAAAACCAAATTTAAAACAGAGAGAGAGAAAGAGATACTAATGAAGTGTTAGCATGAACCCTAAGGTGTACTTGTCCAGTCGCACATCAGTGAGAAAAATCAAATTTTGCAGCCAGCAGCCTGGAAGGATAGCCGTGGGTCCACAAAATGGGTTTGGCACAGGGGCTAAGTCCCCGCAGCTCGTCTGTGAATTCCTCGAGCCCTCCCCAAAGCCTCCTTTGCTCGTGGCCACATCCCTTCTGGTGAATGCCCCCGCCTAATCGAGTCCTCTTCCCACTTGCCTTTGTTCTAGAGCTGGCCTACGACCTGGGCACTGAGGACGCACCTTCCAACAAGCAGCTCTTGAATCAAGAAAGCAAAGAGGTGTCGGCGATTCACAACCTTGGCCCGGGGGACGTGATGCCGGACCTCCCTGTCTTGGCCGTCATCCTAGCCGTGTGGCTCCTCCCACTGGCTTAAGCACCGGAAGCCCTCCTGCCTCCGAGACAGCCAGCTTTGTGAAGATTCCCTGCAAACTCCGTCCTTCCGAGTCATCTGGAGAGAGTGACTCTAAACAAGTTACCTTTCTAAAAATACATTAAGAGGAATGACCGGAGAGGGACCCATTTCAGACTTAGCAACCTGGATATTGCTTGGAAGTCTTCTTGTTGATTTGTAAATGGGTAAAAACTGACCCATGCAGCATCCCCTAAGAAGTTTCTCATTAACTCTTAAAAAACTAATCGCATTTTTTTCTTGCATTAATTGGAATGGGCAAAAAATCATGTAAATTGGATTCAACATCTTCCACTCGTCTTTGTAAGTTGCCAGTCCCCTAATCATTCTTGGAGATGCTTCCTATTTCCCTGGAAAGTCTCCTGAGTTCCACAGTGGGTAGTTACCCCAGTGAGAAAAGCTTTTCCTCCAAGGGCTGAATACTGGCCCAGTATTAAGAGTATCGGTAAGAAATTGGTCATTGAGGTTGGCACATGGATTGCTATTACATGGATTTCATGCTAGGTTGTAGTTATTTATGAACCATGTATAAATTAGTTGGAGAAATGTGTGGTTCTCTTATAAGGCTGCTGAGAGAGGCTCTGAACTTCACAGATGCCCTTGTTTTCTGGAGCGGGATGGTCCAGCACTGCTTGTTGCCAAAGTGAGTGATGGCTGAAAGGTGAGCCACCCTGGAGAACCCTAATGCTGTAAGGACATGTTCCAAATCCTTTCCAGAAAATAAGGGACAGCAAGCATGTTCCTTTTAATAAATTTTTTAAAAAATGGTTTCGGTAGCATTCTGCTCGTCTGTTGCGTTCATGTGTTCGGCGATGGTCTTTTGAGCTCGGCGAGAGAAAGCTCTAAAATATAATGAAAACCCCCCAATTTGGCTTCTTTGGAATATAATTTGCTCCGGAAGTATGATGGACTGGAGGCAAGATAGGTTCCAGCATCCACTGAAGTATATGAATTGGATGCAGCATCTCATATGGGTCAACGGGGCGTGATTCGCATCTCAAATTTGGGGTTGTTTCCAGAAAAACTATGGAAGCTGCCCTAGCAGAGTTTTCAGAGGTTGTTTGCTAGCTTGGAAACAGCTCGATGGTTTCAGAAAAATGGCAGCTCTCAGGAAAATCACCCTTGGCCTGTTCCCACGGGTGGTTCTACCCTGCTGAAGGAGCGCCTTACTGCTAAATGTGCTGGGTTTGACTGGATTATTTCTCTTGGCATCGCTGAGAGAATAGGTTCACTTTTCACATGTCTGGCCCACCCCTTGACTCCGTGTTGCACAGCCCGTCAGCCCTCTGCGCTTGCCGAATGCGGACGCTCTGTCCCCGCAGTTCTAGGCAGGGCTAGGGGGTGACCCTCCCTCCCTGGAGAGCCACTGCTGCCAGCCCGTGCCGGCAATACTGGGCTTGATGCACCAGGTGCTCCAGCGACCAGCAACATGACTCTGTAGGAGGCCGCTTCCAAAATTACGTCATGGAGATCCCATTTGTGATGGGGGAAACGACCCTGTGATGGGTGTTCACAGCCCTTGTCATGTCACCGGGAACAGGCATGTGCTTACTCCCTTTTTTGGGAGAGGACCCTGCAATTTATAGCGCAAAGATGTAGTTAGTTTAATGCAGCTCCACCCGGAGCCGCTATAGGGACTTGGAGGGTGGGGGAGGAGAGCGGAGCAAGGACTATTAGACTTCTGGAGGGTGGGGCGTTTTTAACAAGCAGTAACCGGGTGTGGACAGCTTTCCTCTGCAAGAAAGGGAGCAGTCCAGAAACAAAACAGCTTTCCGTGTGCGTGCGTGTGGGGGAAAGGAAGGAAGAGAGCTGGACCCGCGGGGAGACCAAAGTGCCAGGCCGTGAACAGGGAGCGAGGGCTGCTGCTTGCAGGGCACTGTGCTGCTGGGACTTGTTCGGCGTTCTGCCTCCGCCCGCCCCCATTCTGCCCCATCCCATTGTGTGCTTCCAAGGGAGTGGTGTTCATCAGAGGTGTGGCAATATATTTGTCTATTCAGCGGTGTAGGCATGAAATAAATAATCATGTAAAACGTTAGGAAAGGCCACGCCAGATCAGAGCAAGAGTGCTTTTGCTACGCCTTGATGCACCCTTTGCTGGGGAACATGGGCAGAACGGTGCTAGCAGCTTTCACATCCTTGAGTGTCGGGTTTTGTAGTAGGTGTCAAGAAGCACTTTCTTTTGCCTAGTGTAAGTCTTTTCAAGGAACGTGGCTTGACATTTCAAATCGTGGTGGCCCGAGGTAGTTTTCTTGTGGTCTTTGTTCCCTCACCCATCCATCTGGCAAGTGCTGGGGTTGTTGCTGCTCTCCTCCTGGGACCGGTGTTTTTAATGTGAGCCCAGTGGGAGGACAGGCATGACAGAGTACCATTGAGCATGTCTAGAGTGCTTCACCAGTGAATAGCAGCCCACATCCGAGAACAAGACTTGGGGGCTTTGAAGCAGGAGGGTTAGCATTCTGGTGTGCTTCAAAGACTACAGCAAGAGTTGCCAAAACATATGTTCAGAGCCCTGTCCTGAATATCCTTTTTTTTAAAAGCAAATTTCTAGTCCTCTTACTTTCACCGAAGTAACAAAAAGGTGCAAAGAGATTTTGAAAGGTTCTCTGCTTCCACTTTTGGTTTCTGACCCACAGACTGCCAAGGCTCAGAGGTGATCGAAAGGCACGGAGAACATCTTAAAAACGCAACCCTTGCCAACTCTTGCCGTTGTCCTGGCATCATAACGACAATATTTGGGGCGTAGACCTTTGTGGCCTGCGCTGGCGTGACTTTCTTCACAGGCTTAGTTCCTCACCCGGTGAGGTACTCCTGCTCCAGGTCTTGTGTAAAGTCCAGCACCGTGAATTGGGAATCACCCACTGGGAGCTTCTTTGCTCCACTGCATCCGCCGGTGATGCCTGTTGACCTGGAGCCATTTTTTTAAACCTTTCTGCAACTAGTTGGAAACGTGGGCTTCGGAAGGCCAGCAGTGCCCTTCTGCTTTCACCTGGGAATGCAAACTGAACCTGTTCGGTCTTGGAGCAAGACTGCAAGGGAAATGATGGCACTCTGCAAGCCCCTCACACGCTGTCCCAAAGAGGAAGGAAGGACCTCCTCTCCCTCACTGCAGAGGGTAGGACGTGGAGCAAAGAACTTGGACTATGGCAAATCAGGTGCAGGCTAGGCACCTGGAAAAGCTTCCTCACTGTCAGCAGAACTGCTACCAAGAGAGGCTTTGTGCTCCTCTGCACTGGAGATGCTCAAGAAGCCGGACAGCCCCCAAGTGGGATGCTGTGACTTGTCCTGCACCAGCAGGGGGCTGGCCCCCGCGGCCCCCTGGCCCCTTCCGCCCCAACTGCTCTGTGATTCTCTGAACTGCCGCCTGGGTTCTTTCCTGCAACCTCTGCAAGAGAGTTTGGTTGGGAATGCAAGCGGAGTGCAAAAGCAGGCCGGCCGACGAGAGGACGAGGTTACTGAGACATGAAGGGCAGCTGGGCTTGGAAGGCTTTCTGTGCGACGAAGAGCAGCCGGCCAAGGCTGAAAGCAGGCCTGTTCCTTTCCAGGCAGGAGAACATCTGCCTTCCTCCTCCTCGCCTCAGACGCAGCCCTTGGGCTCTTGGCTGAGAGCAGTGGCAGCAGTAACGGGGGACTTGATTCCCCCGCCACTCTGCCTCTGCCTTCTGTGATCTTTTCCCTGTTCTGGCCGAAGGGGCTCTTTTGTATTTTGTTATGTTCATGGTGCTCTTTATAAAAATAGATATTTAGGAAGCATAAATATACGTGGCACTTCTGTAGAGGCACATGTGCGAGAAGAGGGTTCCGCATGTGCAAGGAAAGTACCATTTTGATGGTGGGAGGGAAGACCAAGCTTCCCTCCAAGAGGCAATGGAGGTGGCTTATGCTTTCGGAGCAGCAAATGTGCATTACAGCCATTTGGAAGCCTCATTTGTAGTGCTTTTTTTGTTAAAAAAAAGGTGCCGGAACGCAACCACACACAACAATCCCAAGCCAAGCAGCGTCCCAAGCCAGGCGGCGCGGACACAGAAGCAGCCCGCAGGCACTGTGTTAATGACGTTTGCTGCTGACCTGCTACACCGACAGGCGATTCAAAATCACTTCGTAAAATCCATTGGAAAAATGGTGCCGGAACAAAAAAAGCCCTGCTCATTTGTATGCATTTAGCAGCCAGTGGCAGATTTAAATCTTATTTTATCATTCATTCATTCATTTAAAGCCTTTCTAACCCATCCACTACTAGTGTCTTGGGGCGGCTTACAAAAAATGAGTAGAATAAAACAAACGCCACAGCATCCCACAATTGAAATACGAAAACCCTATTTAAAATTAATTAAACTTTAAAATAACGGGAAAATAAAAAGGGTCTTGCCTGATGCCGAAAAGAATATCATGTAGTATAAAGCAAGGTCTCTTTGGGCTCCCAGATTAGTGGCCAGGCTACCAAATGCCGGAGGGACTTCTGCAGAACCAACAGGGTTGCAGTCTCCTGTGTCCTGATGTAGGAAGTCGACCAGAACATCCCGTAATGAGGCCTACCACCAGATCAGAATGGATCTGAATCGGTGCCCCCAGGCACTTTTCTCGGCCCCCTCCCACTTTTTCCGAATCACCATGTCTCCACAGCAACAGCTGGAATGAGGTTTCTGATGGGGCTGCATCCTTCCGGCAGCCGCACCATGTGCCACAGCTCAGGCCCCACCTTGCCCCTGGCCTCGGGGGCAGGTGACTCGTCTTTTGCAGTGTCTCCTCTGGCAGCCCTTTCATGGACTTGCCCAGGACAGTTTCTCAAATTGCTCAGTGTGTCTAGAGCCACAACAGATTGTTTGCCCATGACCAAAAAGTTCAAATCATCCATCACCACCTGAAGCTGAAAGGCGTCTCTCAAATCCAAAGAAAAGACCCACTCACCTTGCTTCTTCTGCACTTCAACTCCCATCAGCCTCACTTTTTTAAAACACCCTTTCTGAGGATGATCGTTTGGGTACAAGTCCCTCTAGAATCCCAAACTGTGAATGTCACTGTCACCTACCTATCAAGTACATCCATACACACCTGGGTAATATTTGCAGACACTCTTCACAAGCCACGAATCCTTCAATTAGCTCAGGCAGAATAAGGATGGGCAGTGTCTTCGCAGATAAAGGGCCAGTCCGCAGAGCGCCCGAGGGCTAGCAAGTTGCTGTAAAAATTCAGAGCGCGCTCACATGGGCCTGCATTTCTTCAGTGTCCAAATAGATTAATTAAAAAAAATCCAGTGTGTTGCCAAGTGGGAAAATAAACACCCAGAAAACACAAACCAGAGGAGCTGTTTAATTCTACAAGTTATGGGGAATGACAGTTGTGTACATTCCACCCCAAAAGAAGGATTAACTGCAATGACCTTTCTCTCAGTGCAAGATGGCGTTGGTTAAGCGTATGCACAAGCTTTCTGACTTTGGCCTGAATCTTTGGTGTTAGAGAGACAGTGACCCCTTGGCCCCGAGCCCCTGCTTCACCACAAAATCTCTTTTATTTCTGCATTGCGTGTTTAAGGGAAGCCCCGGTGTGCCTGCCCTGAGCTTTCTGGTGAACACAACCCAGTGGGAATGTAAGTAGGAAAAATCAAAGAAGTGGAGGGGGAGGGAGACCTTGAAAACCTCTCTCTGAGAGAGGGTCTTCCTATATTTACAGCACCTTGAAATTCCCAAGCGCTGTCATTTGTCCATGGCAGGAAGGGACATAGCTGGTCTGGACAGAAGGCATGTCCAGCCATGTCGTGGGGATTTAGGTCT